GAGAGAGAGAGAGAACGCACGAATACTCATGCTAATCACAAATTAAATTGAAATAAATAAATCAATAATATGATATAATCTATAGAAAAGTTTATCCTATCTCTATATAGTTAAAGACCATATAAAAATTTATAATTATGCAAATAGGAGGCACAAGTTCTGAAATAATTATACAAATTCATTAATTATTTGCTGAATAAAAAGTCGCATGTTTTATGCCAACGTTACGTTTTATAAATTTCAACGAAACGTTACATCATTAATGTTATGTAGATTGATCTGTTCATATCACTGGTGAATTCACGTGGATTGCGTTTAAATATATTACGATCATTTCAAAGTCAAAAGTTCAAAATTTTTGCTTCACCGGTTCGCTCGCAAATTATCCACCCAGATAAGAGTCTTTGGCAAATTAGATACGTCAAATGGATATTTCTGTGAATAATGATCATCAAAAAAATGTAAATCTACGATACAAATCTTCTAGTAATTAATTCTGTGCTTCTTGTAAGCACATTATCCAAATAGAGATGTTTACGAGATACGTCTTCAACCTTGACCAAATATATAATTATTATCTAACGCTTAAAAAAAAAAAAAAAACAGTTTTGCTCAAGTAAAAACTTAATCAGAAGACTTGACAACTTGAAGACAGAAAACTTGATCGGAACGTGATTAAATCTGAAAATAATTTTGTTGCATTATTAATGTTAAAGAACGCTTAAATATGATGATAATAATGCAAAATTTTGTATATTTTAGCAACAGATTATAACGTCTTATATAAATATTTTCATGATATGTCGAACTCGTGAACTGATGTGGATTTGCGCTCAAGTAAAATAACACGATTTTAAAATCCGAAATCTTTGCTTCATTATTTTCTCGATACGCTCGCAAAATGTGATAGTCCGACAAAACTATTTTCAAATCTGTATAGCCAAGTTTTTAGACTTGAACAAAAGTGTTCTTTCGCAAAACATCCAAAGTAAGATACGTGCAAGCAAGTCGCAATATTAAATGGGTTTGCGAGATATTAATGAAAATATAATTAAATATAATTGAATATATGCTATTTATACACACATTTTTTTAGTATTAAGACTACGTTCCGATATTCACTGTCAGTACTGAAAATATATAATTCAGATTACGTATATGGTAGATTTTCAGTGAATATCAGAATGCAGTCATTAAATGCAGTAATTAATACCAATTAATTTTAATGAAAAAAATTCTGCATATATCCATACTCGACCGAAGAAAACGCGAGTCGAAAATATATTATCGATTATCGATAGATTATACACACGTGTCATTATATAACAGATATTTGATAATTAATATTTATATAAAATTGTAAAGTATAAATTGCGTTGTGTTTGACAGCTGACGTATAATTGATTACAAAAATCTACAATTAATTTAAATTTATGGAAAAACAAAGCGATTTGAATTTCCTTTTCAACAACAGAAAACTTATTTTTTGTAACTATTTCTAACAAAATTTTTAATTATATTTTAATTAAATTTGATTATATATTAATTATGAAGATACCTCGTGCAACATCGACATATAAACAATTCTATAACTTCTCAGGAAGCTTTTTATTTTTAACAACTTTTATAATTTGTTTTATAATTTAATATTTGAAAGCTTTCATTCAAAATTTCACATAACTAAGGAAAAGCAATTTTTAAAGCAATTTTTTAATTAGATTCTAAAATTAGATTTTAAATTAGTCAAAAAATTTGTGATTGAGATTAAGAGCACTATTCAACAAGATGCCTACAACTTGCATTGAGAATTAGACGTGTTTACTATAAATACAACGCAAATCCATGTGATTTAGGTAACAACTTTGTAAAAATAAAAATAAAGTGATATATTATACAACGTTAAATTTAAAAGAAACATCAGAAGTAATTGATACGATAAGAAAAGTTTTGTAAGTAATCCGTTAAATTTAAATTATTCAATATAAATTCTCGTTTATATTAATATATCAATATAAATTCTTTATATTTTAGCGGAATTTATAAAATTATAACATACAAGTTCATTGACATAATCAATAATATTCGCTTGTTTAATTATGGCTTTGTAATTTTTTATACATACGATATATTTATAGAAATTTAGAGTATCTATTGTAGCATTATTTTAATTATTATATATTTTTTTAAGAAAATTAAGAAATTAATTAACTGTCAAAGAAAATTCAAATTAATTCATTCTAACATTCTACAAAATTGTAATATGAACAATTGTTAAATAAAAAGCAAAATAGGATTTTGATGAGTAATGTAAATATTTTTACGATTTACAATGGTTTTCTTCCAAAATAATAGACTCAACTAAAGCAACAGCCTAATTTCAACGCGTCCACCGAAGAAAGTGCTCGAAATAACTAATCGTCGAGCTTAACGAGATCTTTGTGACATCGTCCAAAGGCAAGCAGGAGGCATCCTGTTTAGCACCGCAAATGCCGCTTTGTGAGCGACGGCGATACGAATTGCAGTTGCTCTAATCAAAATCGACATTGATATCGGGGAAATGTCGTTTCGTGACGGAGATACATGCCACTGAGATAATCGATTATTCGGCATGCAGTCTCGTATGCTTCGTCACGCAATGTATCACGTGGAAGCGATTATGTGAACAAAATCACACGACTAGTTCACACGAGCAAGTCGTGATTCAGTTTATTCACAATATATTTACAAAATCATTATGAATATGCAATAGATACAAATATTATATATCATTGATAAAAAATTTGATAAAAAATGATAATCTACGCAGAAAAAAAATTTATCTTATCAAATCAAAATAAATATTTTCGTATATAAACAACAATATTATAATCCTCTTAAAAATGTTGTCTTGATTTTATTAAATTTGTACTGATGCAAGTGCTATTTTTGCTCAACTCTAAATCTTCTATATGAAGATTATCATATTCTTGCTTACATATGAGAATATCTATATTTGCATTAATATAAAGAATTAAATAAAATTTTTTAAGAAGATTATAATATTTTTGCTTATATATGAGAATAATACTTGATATGAAATTAATTTTTTTCTTCTGTGTGCGGTATATGTGTGTGTGTGTGTGTGTGTGTGTGTGTGTGTGTGTGTGTGTGTGTGTGTGTGTGTGTGTGTATCGTGCCCCCCCCAATACTCTATATATCTATATATATAATAAATATTTGTTTGTAAATAAAGTTATTTTTATTTGTAAAAAATGGTGCTACTTTATAGAAAATACTTGCTTTACAGATATGTATACTGTACATTTGTACTGTATACTTTATACATTTTTATACACTAGTTGTTATTTTGAAAAAACAATCAAATGGTAATAACTTGTCAACTTTTGGTAACCTATGACATAAAAGCAAAGATCATGTGTTCGCACACAATTTTATGCAAAACTGTTAGGTACTTTATGAGTACGTATATAAAATAAGGAATCAATCAATCTGAATCTCAATGAATAGAAAATCTTTTTGTTTTCTATGTATTAAAGATTTAATTATAAAGCCATTAATAAAATAAATCTCAGAAAAATTATAAAAAATCAAAGTCTTAATAAACATATTATTTTATCTATTCTTAAATAAAAATGATTTCATCATCGTAGATTGAACGATCGCTTCGCACAAAATATCATTTTTGCCTTTTTTTATAGACTTTATAAATCTTATAAAAAAAATTTGAAAATTGAATGAGCAGAGTTATAAAAAGAATATAAGTATAGCGTACTTAAATAGAAACGATCGTATCTTATCGATCGTTACATGAATATGAATGGATTACGTATACTCTTTATAGCGATAATGCATGCATCGATAATGTATCGTATAAGATAGAGACTCTTTTACATGAGGAAATAATTTTGTTCACTATTTTCCTCCTTTTTTCTTTTTTTGCGAATCATTTGCTTCATTCAACTTCTCTAGCTCCAATTCCAAAGCTCTTAGTTTTCGTCGACATGTTGGCGTTTTAGAAAACCAAGCTGTAACATTAAATCTCGAAATTTAAAATTGCTAAAATCTAATACTTGTCATTTTATGATCTGTGCGTTATCACAAACCTAGAAATGCGTCTTCCTCTTCTCGATATACTGGATCCTTAAAACTTAATGCGTTTATCAATTCTGCATGCGTTAGAGGATGTGTTCGTAGTTGTACCATACGTTTTGTAGTCATTACCTGTATTGTAATGTACAAACAAAAAAGGTTACAAAACAGATAATGTAATCATCTTCATCTATCATTCTAATAACATTGGTATTTGCAATTTAAATTACTGACTTCACTGATCGCTGCTAAAATAGTTCCTATTGTAAAACCGTCACATGCTTTGGCCATCGCCGATATATCAAATTGTCGACTAATACCCGAATACTAAAAATAAAAACATAACACGATTTTTCATATGTAAAAATAAATTATTAGTTACTAGTATAAAAAATTTATTTCATGAAATAATAATTATATGATTATATTCGGCGAAATAAACTAAATCACTGAATGATTAGTGAAGGACGACAATTTTTTATACCATTTGTGAAATGTAGATTCAAATATTTTATCCAACATAACTCACTTTGTATAGCAAATCTTTCCATACAAGAGACACAGTGCCGTAATCTGGTCTAGGAATATATATGACTTTGTCGTAAGTTTGATATAAGAGCTTTTGGTCGCCGTCCCAAGGCTTATTAGACGTCCCAATAAGCAAAATTCTATCTTCTCCCGTGATACCCTTCACTAATTTTGGTAGATCCTTTCTCAAACGTTTCGGATCGGTTTTATCCGTTTTTGCTATTTTTTTTACAAATGGCTTTTCCGCATCGTCCATAAAGATCACTGACGGCTGCAGTAATCGCGATACCTTTGAGAGGAAATTCTTACAAAATCGTATATTTCATAAATGATGGCTTAAATATCACAACCAGTCAAACTCTTTAAATTTTTCTAATCAAATAACAACTGTATGAAATGAATAATCCAAAGCAATTTTATTATTCTTTGTACAAATTCTCACGTTGCTATAAATCCAATTTAGGAGAATCCTTGCTATTCCATAATTTCGTACGTGACGTTTGCGAAAGATTGAGATATTCGCATACGTGTGAATATCCAAGTACTATAATTTTAATATATAAACGGATAATTTTTCAAAATCGAGTAATTATTCACAGACTATATAATACATATATATCCGATTAATGAGATCTATTTAAAACTCTAATACAAACTTTTGAAATTAGATGGACAAGCATAATCAATCCTGACTTGCCGGGATATTTGCCAGCGATATTCGCCGGCGTAATATCAAAGAGTGTAGCTCCAAGTTCCGTACAGATCGCATTCACCAAGAGCTTTTTGCCACTGCCATGTGGACCAGCTATTAGGACTGATTTCACGAGAGGTGTCAATTCTCTTAGGACTTGACTGCCCAGCGGAAGTATGCAGTATTCGGCGATCAATTGTCTTATGTCGCCTATGGAAATTTAATTAATTGTAATTGTAAAATATGCTCCAAACTGATTCGGCAATATTTTGGAAACAATTTTTTTAGCAAGTCTTTAGCAAGTCTTAAAAAGAATATCTTTTTAGCTTAAAAATATTCTTTTTAAGTGTCGGTCCACAATAGGTGATTTAAGCTTTAAGACGTAAGAAATTGACCAATTATAATCGAATATGAAAAGAATAATTGACTATGATTGGTCAATTTCTTACGGCTTAAAGATTAAATATTTATTGTGGACCGACACTAAGACTCGTTAAAGAGAAGCTTTTGTCTGTTACGGCAAATAATTTAAATTTTTTAATATATTTAAGTGCACACATCTTTTTATGTATTTAAATGTACCGAGTGTTGGAAGAGGATCCTTCTCCTTCATACGAAGATCGTAATTTGCAAAAGACTTTTCACCTTTAAATTCGTTTAGCGAAACTTCACGATGAAGTTTAATAATTCCTTGCGTAACAAGCTCCTCGAAAAGAGACTCGGTCGTTCTATCAGGTGTCAAATCTTTTTCTTTTTTTCTCTTATTTTTTTTCCGCTCCTACGAACTCGCTTCTGAGATTTCTTCGCACGTTTTCCTTTAAAACCTTTGTCTCTATCTAACGCAAGCTGAAGAGCTTCTATATCGCCTAATCATAATATCGTATTGCATAATTATCAATCGCAATCATTGGAAAATTTGTCGTATTAATCTAAATTTAATCTTAACAAAAGAATATCATTTTCTCTTGCGGTGCAAAATAATTCTTCGTATTCTTTTGCAATAATTTGCAATAATTTTTAATTAGCATAAATGAATGAATGATTGATTATTACACCGCAAATGTTACATAAAAATTACGTATTAAATAACATTAATAGAGTATGTCACTTTTCAATAGCTGAAGAGAAAAGAACATTTTGAATTAAAAACAATTAAATAAAAAACAAACTTATTCAAATGAAATTGAATTGGGATCTTTATGTCAACTTTGATCATGATCATTCTCTCTTTTGAGGAACAGTTTTATTTACCTCTCATCGCCTGATCTACGATAACTCTAACTTCGTCTTCGACTTCCCTCGTCTTTTCCGCTTCTATCATATCGCGATAAGGCAACTGCATCGGATTCGCGGACTCGTCCTTATCTTTCCAGACGTCCTGGTACTCTTGATTCGCGTGAATCAATTCCGGTAAAAAATTTGAGAGGACGGATTTGAATCCCAAATCCGTTTCGTCCTCCGACTGTTCCGTTTCGCTATCTTTCTTCGATTTTGAGCGTTTTGATTTCTTTGAATCCTTCGATGATATCGCTGTGGATTTACTCACAGTACTTTCAGTTCCCTGTGACAAAAAGAACAAGAAGAATACTTTTGTTGTTCAAGAACAACTGCTATAATTAAATGATATAGCAAAATTATTTCAGTGATTTTAAATCACTAAAAATTTTGACACATAATAAGTTGAACATTTTAAAATCGTAAAAATTAAAATAAAATTTCATGTCGATTGATCAATTTGATAATTATTTCATTATATTTTTGTGTATAATATCATTCAAACATTTTGAATTATCATAAAAATGAATTATCATAAAAATGGATATGATTCAATTGAAATGTACGTTAATAATTTTTCGTGTGAATTTGAAGCGCGCGATGTACATGTATACATATATCTTACCTGCCTGCTGAAAATCATTCGCGAACCTCCGCTTTCGGCGGATGGCAAGTCAGGTATTTTTCCGGTTTGTTGAAAATAAGTATCGATCCAATTTCGAATTTCACTTCTTATGTTTTCCTCCATGATGGCACTCCTCTCTTTGCGAATTCTCTCCGTGATCTCTACAATCAGATCCTCGTATTGCCGTTGAAAATTCATCTGCTTTTCATATCTCTGTTGTTTCAGTCTCTCCGCTTGCCTGACATTTTCTGTGATTACTTGACTAGGTTGTAGCATTCCTTGAACAATAAATAAGAAATTAACACTTTGGCATATATCGAGTAAAATGCGGCAAATATTTTTGCTTCTTCAACGAGAGAACAGATGTATATTAAAGATTTATATTAAAGATGGGAATGAAAATTATTGAAACATTTTCGTAATGTTTACGTTTTCAATTTTGTTTTTTTTTTTTTCCCTTTTCAAATGAAAACCGATTAGGGAAATTTATTGACGACTGGATAAATTTAGCAGACGCGCATTCGCGAAAATCGCGATCGAGTTTTATTATTTCTTAAACGGAAAAACAAACGTCACGATTAATTCTTACCTATAAGTAGCATCTCCTCGAGGCGTCTCTTGCGAATGTAGCATCTTGTAATATATCCTTTCCATACTTTTTGAATTTTCAGTGCTGCGAGTTTCTCGCTCGCTTCATCTTTCTCTTCTACTTCTGGCTTGGTAGTCGATCTTTCTTTCATCTCGCGAATTTCTTTCATAAATTGATACCGCACTCTACCTTGTCGCGCTCGTTCGTGCGCCTGAAGCATCAAAATTTACGAATAGTTTGGAAAACGTACAAATAAATAAATACGAAGGCCGCGGAATATCGATATTCGAAAGCAGCATTGGTCTCGAGCTACAAGATCTAAGTAATGTTACATTAAAAAGAGATATTATATCAAAAAGAGATAAAAAGAGATAAGCCGGAACGTGCGACAAAATACAAAATGTGATAATCGCACAGATGGCGGGGTCGCCTTTAAATTTATTTTAATACACAGCCGAAATGTATTCCTATTTATTTAAATGGAAAAAATGGAAAACTGGAAGAAAGATATTTCTAAAATACATATAAAAAGAACATTTCACTTTATTGCTCCAGTTCAATTGAAATTGAAAATATAAAGGACACTATATGGTCCCGTACGGTCTTTTTGTAAGAATAGAAATTAAGACAAGCCTCGATCGAGATCGAGTTCGATTCAATTGCCGATCGCAAAATACGTGTTGGAATGAATTCGCTCGGATCCATCAAGATTGGCTTCCTTTTGGGGCCCTGTGGGATCCTTTTGGGGAACGCCGTAAAAATAGAAAGCCAGATTAGCAGCTTTCTCGTGACTCTTCCGCGATACCTGAATAAGCCGCACAGCCTGGGATTCCGTAATCTTGGTGGGCACAACGATCTCGTGAAGCGCGCCAAGATTTCGCAGCGTATCCTCTATGAATTTCCGTCTGGCCTCGATCTCCGCGATTCGCTCGCGTCTGTAGTACCTCGGCACCCGGATCTCGGCCTCCTGCGGCGTCACGCCGCACTTGATTAGCGCGTCGTCGTAATAGCTGTGCTCCGAGAGATCGATGTTGACCAGCTCGTGTTTCAACTCCAACACCCTGCCCAGGCTCGCGTCCAATAATCTCTTGACGAGCAGACGCTTCTGAGGCTGCACCATCTGGTCGTAGCATCGCTCGAGTTTGTTGCATATAAGGCTGTACCTCACGTACAATCCCGAGACGAGATCCCGCGCCTTTCCACGATCCTTTTGCGGTTTCGCGCCTTGGAGTACCGAGTCCGCCTGAATCGTTTCCGCGAGGGACGTTTGAGCCGCCCTCCAAAGCTCGTCGTACGTCATACTCGACATTCCTCCTCGGGAACCGAAGCGCACTTGTGCAAAATTCCTATTCCCGGTATTCCGTTATCAATTGTTAGCGACGGATAACCGATTGTTGGTTACCTGGCAACGAAATTATCGAGCAGGGTGAAATCCCGTTTGTTGGGTTTGTCGGCGGCGCGGACGGACAAAAGGGGAGGGGAAAAGAGAGGAACCATGCGAATTTTACCTTGGCCTCTCGGAGGAAATTAAAAACGTTTCTCGAACGACAAATTATCAGATTATCAATGTAAGTGATAGTCGAAGGGGGGTGAGATGTCAGAAACGATAAACGAGCTTTTAATGAGTCTCTAACGAAACTTTTTAACTAGAGAAAGTATCGATATCTCTTCTGGATGGAGAAGCATTTTATAAGTATTTTTTCAAAAAATTTTTTCAAAACATTGAACATTGACAAAGTTACCAAATTGAAGATTTTCAAGCACCAATTACCAAATTATTGCGTTTTTTAAATAAAACGAATTGTTTAAGTAGAAATTCGCGAATAAAACAACAGAATTAATATAGATGCTATGGATAGGAAATTTCCATTACTAAAAACTTTTTCTCATTTTCTCAAAGTGTCTTTGTTTTTGAACGCGAACAATTCCAAAGAATTTTTTCACGTTGCTTCGTGGGAATTAAAACGAAACGACTGTTGAAACAAATGATGATCGGCAGAGAAATCATCACTTTTGTTCATTCATATAAAAATATTAATGCTCGACGTTGTTAGATAATGAGCCACAATAAGTCAAAATAAGTCACACGTGATTAAGGTTGCCATATTAAAATTTTCAAAACTAGGATTTACAAGCCAAAACCCCGGACATTTCGGTTGCAACCTCGGACAAAAAAATGCGCTTAAATTAATCAAATTGATTAGAAACAATAAATGAATCATTATTTCACATCTAATTGTTCATTAGATTATTCAGAGCAAAGAGAAATTTGAACTGGATTCTAAATAAATACAGACTATTTTGATTTAAAATAAAAAATTTTATTATAGGTTTAGTTTAAATTTTATTAGGTATTAAAATTAAAAAATTTTAACTCTTTTATGTGATATCTGTGCTATTTGGTGCTATAATGCACATTAATGCGAGAAGAATCAAAACAAAATATTTAGATTTCTTGAAACCCCGGACGCTTTCAAAGAATTTCCCCTGGACGCCCTAAAAAAGAAGACAGTATCCGGGAAAAAGAGGACGGATGGCAACCCTACACGTGATCAAAGTTGACGCAGAATAGTGAAACTTAAATGGTCACTTTTGATCATGTCATCTATTTCGATGCTAAAAACGAGCGTCGAGCATCAGTATAAAAACATATTTTTATATAATTATATTCCGTATCTCATACTTTATTATTGTTATTGTATTATTCATCAGATTACTATTATTATTGTTATAATTGCGAATCTGAAACTTAACATTTTTGCCGTGCGAGGTCATCAAGGTCAAGGCGAAATATTTGCCCATTTTGGTTATTCTGTTTCGTTTCGCGTGCGTCTGGTTCTGTGGACTCTCGAGCATCGTCGAGCACCGAGTGTACATTTATAGCAAATGCTAATAACGAAGAATCGAATGTGACTCGCAGTCTCTCAAGGCTTCCGCGTCCACAGAGCTCACGGTTCTATTTTTCAGGAACAAAGTTCTTTCGACTGTTCGACTTCGCTGTTAGTCCGCATGAAACCTCTTTGTTACGGAGTTAACGTGCGAAGTATCGAAGAAACAAACCAATCACGTGTATAATTTAAAAGAAGCCATTTTGTTTTCTATTATGTGTAAGGATACGCGATTGGTCAATTTTTCTGCATTACGATTTTTATGGGTTACGATAGGTCTGTGATTCTACCCTCTCGCTAGCATCGAGCTTGAGTGCGTGAGAGCAGTGTTGCTATTAGGACCGCTTTTTCGCGCATGCGTATTATGATCAATAATTATCTAGGGCTGTAACATGACATACGTATATAATAGGTATTAAAATTTTGGCGTGCTCTACGCTAGGATGAGATAAGTAAGGCAAATATTTAAATATTATTAATTGTTATTAAAAATAAATGTTATTATTTATTGTTTGTTATTCAACATAAATATAATATAGATATACATAACCAAAAAGGGACTATTAAAAAGCATGCTCGTAATTTTCAAATAAAATATTTTATTTTAAACACATAATGTTTTATTATATACTTTCTTTCCTTACATTTACAAAAATATAACTTTGTTAAAAAATTAATTTTATTGTAGGTTATTAATATTAATTATACTTAAAATTTTATATAATTAAATAATTTTTATATAATTTTTATTTTATATTTTATTAAATTTTTATACAATTTTATATAATTTTATATAATTATATATTTTATATAATTATATAAACAATTTTATAATATAAAATAATATTATAATATAAAAAATTTCAGTAAAAGACCAATACCTTTTTTCTTCTAAAACGTGATACTTCATTAAACTTGCATCTAAATACGCATGCGCGAGAAAGTGTCCCTGATAGTAATACTGGTCGAGAGTCGAGAGTGCATTGGTGCTCGATGCGTTCGGTGTGTTCTATCACGTTCTCTATCTTTGATTCGAAACGTCATTGCAGCTGAATGTTCGCTCGCGAATGTAATCTCTGTATGTAGGCTATCGCCGACTGTTAACCAGAGGTGATGATAAGAGAATGTCCACAATAATGGCATCGGCATTGGAGCAATTTGTAAATAACGTTCGCACGCTTTCGAAACAAGGTATGGTTGACCTTTGCAGGCATTGCGAAATTGCTGAACTTAACCTCAATGGCAAGAAATTCTAAAATAATTCTTTTGAAAGGAAACTTTAGATTTGCCATTTGTGTATTTATCAAGTTTTTATCTCTGTATATAAAGGGATACTTGAATAATTAAAAAAAGGATTAGGATTATAAAATTAATCGAATTGCATTTATAGGCAATTTCAGGGAATTATATGACATTATAAGCAAAAGCGTCGAGGTGTTGACAAAAAATGGACAACATTTGGACAATGTTTTGGAAACGTTGGATTTGCAACAACATTCGTTGGGTATTCTGGCGGTGCTCTGTGCAAAATTTTCACTGCCCAATCCTAATGGAGGAAATAATCCTGAAGCACAGAAACTCTTGTTTAATCAAGTTCAAGAATTTATTATTGGTTGTAATGGAGAACAAGTTAGATTTGCGCCAGATACATGTAAGTATATCCTCTTTTTTTATATTAAAATATCTTTGTTTATGTTTTCCTCAATTATTGATATTTTTCATCTCTGAAAATAAAAATTTGTAATTTTATTTTTAAGTTTTTCAAGATATTTATTTAGTTTATTATCCAACCTTGTCATTAATTATGATTAATAAAATTCTTTTTATAGATGCAGATTTGTGTCACCTGTTTACACAAAGTTTAGTTGAATCAAAAACGTCATTACGTGGAATTGAATTGTTGCGTCGTGCGATACGCAAAATACAACTGTTCGACAGTCAGCTAACCTCAATACACGCAGATCTTTGTCAGTTATGCCTTCTGTCTAAATGTTTTAAGCCAGCACTTGAGTTTCTTGACATAGATGTCACAGGCATTAGCCAGGAAGGAGGCCAGTTTGACTCAAAATATTTCTTATTGTACTATTATTATGGTGGTATGATATATACAGCACTAAAAAATTACGATCGGGCATTATATTTTTTGAAGTATGTGTAACGACACCTGCAATGGCGGTTAGCTATATCATGCTGGAGGCCTATAAAAAGTATATTTTGATCTCACTAATATTACATGGAAAAGTACTAAATCTACCAAGGTACACGAGCCAAGTGATTAATAGATATATCAAGCCATTGAGTCAACAATATCAAGAATTAGCTACAGCCTATCTGGTCAATAGCTGCGAGGAAGTGCAGAACATTATCACCAAGTATCAGCAAATATTTGTAAGAGATCATAACTTGGGACTTGTAAAGCAGGTGCTCGCTTATTTATATAAGAAGAACATACAGAGGCTCACCAAAACTTTCCTGACACTTAGCTTGAGTGATGTCGCGAGTAGAGTTCAGTTGTCAGGACCCGCTGAAGCCGAAAAGTATATCTTAAACATGGTGAGTTTTTGTCATTATAAAATATAAATATAAATGCTTTAGAAATCATTGATTTTGAATCATTGCGATTCTTTGATAAAACATTTTCTTTGCAACTAAAAGAATTATATAATTCAAATTTTTCTTTAAAATAATTTTATTAAAAAAACATTTTCCTCTCCATAAACAAAAGGATTTGTTCATAAATTTAGTTACGAAACACTAAACACACTCGCGTATAATATCTGTAATATAGATATTGTTCATTATATATAGATTAATATTACTTATTAGTATTCTTATTTATTTTTAGATTGAAGACGGTGAAATTTTTGCAACTATTAATCAGAAAGATGGTATGGTAGTATTTCATGACGATCCTGAAAAATACAATTCACCACAAATGCTTGCAAATTTTGAGAAGGAAATGGCAGCATGTACGGAACTAGATAAGCGAGTATTAGAAATGGAAGAGGAGGTTGTCCTTACTCCGCAATACGTTCGCAAAGCTTGTGGACAGAACGATCAGGACGATCAAGCTGCTGGACCTGCACCAACGAATGTTACGAATGCGCAGGGCCAAATTAAACAAAACACCTATTCTATGTAACATATACATGTCGTTGTGTGTTATTTTTATTAAAAAAGTGATAAATCACGAAAAATCTTGTTGAGAGTCAAGACTTCAGTATCTGAAAGCTTGTTTTTTTGAATAATGATAGTAATTAGGGAAATATTTTTGCGACTCATATGTCGCCTATTTTGTAAACACGATTTATGAATAAGATTCTTTTATATATACCTGTATATACGTTACAGAGATTTTATTTATATTATCATTATAATACAGATTAAATATGACATACTGCAATATTATATTATTGTATTATTCACACGTATATAATCTATAGCAATCGTATATGGCACATTATCCATTTATTAAAATCTCTGTAACAATTTGAAATTAAGTTCATATGAATCATATAATTATCCATAAAATAATTAACTTCTTTGTAGTTAAGCATTCTCATGTCATGCTCATTGTTATAAAATAATAGATTCATTTTATACAAAAAGTTTTAAATTGCTAATTAACTTGTAATATATGCAAAAAAAGATTTTGTTAAAATCATCATCACTGAATATTCATAGCTATGAAAATTGATGTACTGCAATATTCCGTTGCAAATTATTGAATTATAATATTATTTAAAGCATAGAATTCAATTTAAATGACATGCACATACTTAATGCACATTCAATTTAAATGACATACTTGAATATATACAAATTGATTGGCAAATATTCACCGTATTAAATATAAAAGTAAATGATTCAGTTAAAAAAAAAATTTATGGAAAAAATATCAAGAAATTTTCTATTGCAATTTTTTAAGCAATATGTAATGTTAAACATCGTTTAATTTTTTGGGAATTTTTTAGAGATTATGTGAAAGAAAATTTTTCTCTTTTTGTGCGATAATATATATCATTTAAATTTAATCATAAAAATAATTAAACTAAGTTACAATTTTAAGATAACAATTCACCAATATCCTTGGAAACTATTTCATAAACTTCTTCCAGATCTTTCGATCCATCGATGAAAGTTACAGTTTCATACAATTCTTCATTTTGTCTAACTTCATTTTCGTACTTTACGTATTCGGGCCAAACTACTTTATCGAAATATCCTGGTACATCGGGTGGATCATATATGCGATTTTTTCTTCGATCCCAACATCGTTCCTTTGTCAACGTTAAAAAATATTTACAATTACACAAATTCGTGATGGCCTTGTGTTTAAAAAGCAAAAAGCCATCCAATATCAATAATATCTTTGAATCCGACGCATTTTCTCTACGAGATGTGAATATTCTTATAACGTCTGAATACATCTTCTGCATATCCAGACTCGTTATTAGCTCCCAATTCATGTGATTTAATTCCTCTATTTTAACGTGACGTGGATCATCGGGAGGTAAAAAATAATCGTCTTGACGCACCATAATAGAGGTTGGATACTCATTGTGAATCTTGTTAGCTAACGTACTTTTTCCACTGCAGGTTGCCCCAGATATACCAATGACGATCACCTGCTTCGACAATTTTAATTTGCTAGTTTTATAGCAATGTTCAGCGTGATATAGAGAAAAATTCATTTTATCGAACAACCTAAACAAATTAAAACGTGGAATGTAATATCGTTATATAACTTGTAATTAACATTCACCAGTACAGCGTTCACATTCATGCGTTGTATATCACAAGTTGTATGTGTATTATTCAACGTGATATGTACGATGACGCATTACGACAATGGAACGTAGGACATCGATGTATGTATGTTTTGATAATTTGCTACTAAATTGTTATTCCATTTTCTCAATTTTATGAAATAAATACGGTTTTACGTGATACACAGTAAAGAGTATCAAACCACCGATAAAAATTAGCCCGAGACTTGCGGGAATTATCAAGGCTAAATGATGAGAGTAAAAAATAGATTTCAATCTATCGTCGTCGATGAATGGCAAACCAATTATCCAAACAGTATAATAAAGAAACAAGACAAACGTCAATATTAATATTGCCTTTCCTTTTTGGCGATCGCTATCAAACATCTTTCTCGATTCGAGAAAGAACGATATCTCGTTTCTATCTTAATTTTGCCGAAACACACGTAACGCGCGTTGTTCTCTGTGACTCGATAATACTATTAATTTTATCCAATGTATTCCTGCTCAAACTTCTTAAAGTCTTCTTCCGTGAAAGCTGTCTTTTCTGATTTCTTGGGTTTTTCTTGTTGTTGAATATATTTCTTTCCAACAGCACGTTGCAACAGCTGAAAATATATTTTGTAAATTTTTGATAATTTTCTTAAGGATATAGAATTAAAGATATTTATAGTTTTAAATCATATACATAAAGACCATAATATAGAACATAAAAATTGTGAGAGGTTTAGAAAACCTAATATTAAGCAAAATAATTTAAAATATAATATGAGAAATGTAATATTAATAAGTTAATTAATCATGTTTGTAAAAAACATGATTAATATTTCGTACATTATTCGTCGTTCCAGGATTTATTTTATTATTGCTAAGTAAAAGGAGTCGTTGTACATTCTCATCGGTAGGATCTGTTTGAGTAGCTAAGCGTTTCTGGGTTTCATATACAGTAGTTTTGCTGGATCTGCCCAAAATAGTGCCAAGATCTATAAAAAGAAAAGAAAATTTTTGTGTGATTTAATTTTTTCTAAATATCAAATAAGTTAATAATATAATTATGAGAATTATGAAATATTGTAATTATTACAATAATTTTATTGTAGTAATGTCTATATGAAAAGTGCAGAAGTAAGTTTTAAGATGAAAATTGTTTATAAAATTATACACATTTAAATAAATGATTTGATAACCTGTCTTATCATTTTTGGAAATGATCCTATGTTTAGGAGGAATTAGATCCAAGGCTCCTTTGTATTTGATATCCTTACGTTTCTTCTTCTTTTTCTTTTTTTGTTCTGTAAATTTCCATACAAAATAAATCCTTTCAAGTGCGTTTGATTCGTGAACGTGTACACGTGCATTCTTAATAAACTAACCTTTCTGCAAATCTTTTTCGTAACCCAATAATTCCAAACTTTTATGTACGAGTAAATTAGACATTTCCTTGAATCTCACGATTCTGCAACTTAATTTTTAAAATGGCATGGATTATTCATTAAACCCTTTCATTAAAGAACATTATCAATAAAATTTATTATTCTGAAATCCATGATAACTACACACACAACCTTCCATCTTACATATAACGAATTGGGTGATGCAGAGCGGTCATCCCGACCTTTTTCCTAACACCGTAGAAATCGCCGTACATTACCGCCACCAACATCTATAATTGAGTTCGTGGAACTATAACTATAAGTCACATCTATTTTGCGACACTGCCGATAAAATCGTGTCTCGCGAAATAGATGTGGTGCATATCCGTGCTACATCCATAAATTGGGATGAAGAACGCATATAATTATATGTAATTATATGTAATTATATGTAATTATATGTATATATTACATTTATGTAGTTTTTCTCTTATTATAGCCTGAAGTATTGATTAACATTGACATATTCAACATAATGATTTTTATATATTCATATATATATATATATATATATATATATATATATATATATATATA